GATCACTGCACTGAGTAAAAAATCAAAAGAGAAACGGAGAGTTGATCTGGAACTGATCAAAGGAAATTCTTTGATTTGTTGATTACGAAATTGATGAAATCGTCGATTTAATAGATGATGTCTTCAATTTCTTAATCAGTAAATAAAATCTAACTCCTTGTGATCGAACGTTGAGTTTAAAAACGCTATCAGATGACTATGGAAGAACTATGCAAAAATTCAATTAATATTAAGTACTTTCCGCAAATTTCTTCCAAATATTGTCGAATTCCCGCAGATGGGAATTTCTTTCAGCGACAACCACCGATTTTAATTGAAGTATGAAAATTTTCAGCCCGACTCAAAAGTTGGCTCTGAAAAATGGAGCGTTCCGAAGGAAAGTGAAGATAGTGCAAAGAGAGTCGAATCATTCTTTTCTGATGATAACGATAACGACAATAATTATAATTACTATAACAATAGAAACGATGATCAGAATAATAACAACAATAATGAAAATGCTCCCGAGATCATGTTGCTGAATGAGAACGGAGAATATATTAGGTCGTTTGAATCGAAACCCGATCTCGCAACTCATAATTACCATTCCAAGATGGAACAAGATGAGGTACTAACATTTAACAAACTCATTCAGCAGTCATATTCTTAAGATCAATTATTTCGTTGATTTGTTACATAATTCTAACAATGTGATTAATTGTTCAGAAATTACCTTGCAAAATTTTTGATAGTAATTCGTATGAACGATCTGAACGGTTTATTTGCTCGCAATCAGTAGAAATATAGTTGTTTTCATGATAAAAATGATGATAGTAATAATCAATAATGAGTAATATGAATAAATAATTACAGAGCAAAGGCAAATCGTATGAAAGCGATGAGCCAAAAATAGAATCAAGTCTGGATGATTTATCGATACCACTTCCATCAATGCAAGTCGTTTCCATGAAACTAACCAAACACGTAGATGAAAACGTTAACAACGATAACATTCCATCTGCTGGTATTTATTAGTACTATTATAATTGCTTTACTAATGCTTATTGCTGAAGTTGAGCAATTTGTTAAGATTGTTGCAATGAAACCCTTTTCGAAGGCACCCATCACCTCGGTGACAATGAACCCATATATTAGCCTGAAAGTCTGCTTATGTACCCGTCAGCTGGCCTGAAGTTTGAACAACTACCCCTAGTAATCCACAGCTTTACTTAAGTCATTAAACACCAAATAAGCTCGATAATCGGTGACAATATAGTTGTGATCTAGCGTTATCGGTCGAAAGGTCAGGTGGGTGGTTGAATAAATGAATGACTGCCTTTGTTGGGTTAAACGGTAGCTGAAAGTAATTTGTTAGGAGGGTCATAGGATGGTTGACATATGCATATAATCATGCGATTCCACTGGTCACAACAATGCACTTCAGTTATGAGCATTTTAGCAACTTAATTTGTAATATCACGGAGCGTTATCATAAATCAATTGGAGAGTCATTTTGATCATTTTCAAAGATACTTCCAATCATTGATAACCAATGAGAGTAGAGCTTGATCAAGTATTAAGTAAGTTATATGAATCTGCAACATTTCCACCTCCTTCCCTACTCATTTTGTTTGCTGATAACGAATTTTAAAGATCCTTACCTATTGGTCGAAAATGAGCATGAAACTTGTTTATCTCTTCCATTTACTTGAACTGAACTGATCACCTCGTAGAACATGAAAAATGCGCTATACTTACAAACTCATCGAAAACAGTCATGGTTTAAAAAAGGCGTTTTAATCACACCATCTTATATTCTTGAAACATCTCATGTACTAAATTTATTCCAAATTATTGTGATATAAACTTAAATAAATAAATGATTGAAGCGTGTGGCAAGAATGATGTGGATGTATGGATATCAATCGAAAACGCCATATTCAATTCGATGAGTGCCCAAAAGCTTTCCTATGCACATTCGGCACATGCCTGCAAACAAAAATGCAACACTATCACGGTTCGTTACACGTTTAATTGCTCTTTGATCTGCGAGGATATCGAATGATCGAAGCATTTAATTGAATGCTCAAATTCAGAATGCTGGTCGAGAGTGTCCAGCGGTCACCTATCACGAAATGGAACATGAATGCATTGCTTATACGAATAATATCCAATCGATCCTAGCTCTACGCATCAAACCATCTTCAACGAATAACTTCAATACAAGAACTTTACTTAAATTCTGTTATCCAGGCTTGTTTCATTCATTCTTTTATTTGTTTCATCTTTTATTTGTCATGGTTATTATTATGTAATGCAATTAGGTCATTATAATTATATAATGTTATTACTATCACATAATCGCTATTATACTCTTATATTGTTATTGTTATATCGTGATGTATAATACTCATACTGTTATGGTCATATTCAATTGGTCACTACCCTGAACCTTTATCACTGAACATTCAGTTGCTATCTTGGTAATACCGTAAGGAGACTAGAAGCAGTGTGTGAAGGGACGTGAATTGTTACAAATAACTTCTTTCCTATAAATAATTAAAGACGAGGAATATTTCAGTAGATTTACAAGCGTTTAATGGATGTTCCGAGTTTACATCATTTCCCGACTATACACTCGATGTGAAACCTCGAGAGCAATTCGACGGCATGCCAACCGGCTACGAAGGTCTAAAAGCGTGCATCGAACTGTGTGTTCTGTCACCGAATTTCTATTGCAAGGTTCAATTTTTTGTGATGTTTTCATTATATTATTTTCGAGCGAAAAAAATTTCAAAAGGACAATCATTTTTATATGTGCAAAAAAAATTTACAGTCAGCATCGTTCCGTTACACGGAAGGGCGTTGTTTGCTGAGAGACGACAATTCGATGACGAAACCAGAAGCGTTCCATGAACACTCGCCGCTTAATGATGAAATTTATTTCGAGAATGGTTGCGAGCAAATTTTGACGATTGATAATCAACAAGGTTAATTTGATCTNCATTTCACAGAAATTTTTCTTCATTTTTTGCACTGAACTGAAAGGGTTCAGTTTTTAAATCAGTGAAATTCTATCAGAGAGAAATAAATTCAGATTCATCTGAGCACGCTCAAATGGTCAGAATATCGTCAACGGAAGGCGATTATTCGAAGTAATCACTCGTATCAGTTAATGATAGAATATCAATTAATAAAGATTATGGATCCCTGATGGAGGGGTTTTTACTGAGTGTATAGAGTGATTTGATGATATAATAAATATTGCTGTTTGGCGATATCGTTCGAATAATTGTTTATAATTTAATTCAGTTTGTTGATCCTTTGTTTGCATAATTTGTCAATATTCTGATGAGAATAAGAGATATGTTGTTGATTTAAAAGCTTGAATTGTAATAATAAATGTGATTCATAGAAAAACAATAATAATAAAATAATAATAATAGAATAATACCAATAATAATGATAATATAATGTTAAAATAATGTTGATAATAATGAAAAATAATAATGATAAAAAAAACAATAAGAAATGAAAAACACAGAGCATTTTTGTCAAAGCATTCATTTCGTGTATTATATCATTGAATTAAGTGACTTCGTTTTGCACTGTATAAAGTTCCTTGACATACATTCTCGATTGTACATTAATAATAGATTTGTACTTATTGTTTATTTTTTGGTTGATTTGTTTAACGTTGTTCGATTATTTTATGCATTCATTTGATTATGTGGTCGTATTTGATTCGCGTATCATTTGCAATTGAGGTGATTGTTTTATGTGGCCGATTGATGGGTCGAGACTGATCTTCATATCCAAACGAAGAAGTTTTCAGAACGAATTCATTAAAATCCTGTTCTTTTAAGAATCTGAATTCTTTGCAAAAATTGACAATATCCGTTTTTCAATGAATCATATTAATGCATTTTGTCAATTGCTGTTATTTGCACTTTCGAGATTTGCCGTTGTTTCATTTTTTTGTGATTTGATCGTTACACCCTTTCGCCCACTGCCCATCCATTTTGAATCGCACGCTCTATTAAATTTATCTTCAAGATTTTCTCCTGTGATCCGCTTGTACTCCACATCTTTCAGCAATTGTTCATCTTTATCCAGCATATTGAAAATTTCAGTTAACTTCAGCTGGATTTTCGGTGAAAAGATACCTCATTATAGGATTTACAAGCGGATATATGCATCTATTAGATCCGTTTATCCCAAAGTCAGCGTTCACTACTCAGATCATACCCATTTTCAGCTCATGCAATCGCCGTAATGATATGTATCTGTATTTCAATCTAAGAACACATCAAACTTTGGTTTAGTGTCGATCAGTAGATTAAATATATTCCAATTGTGCATTAAAATGTTGTGTTATGATTTATCGATATAAACTGTTCAACATGTGTGATACATTCAAAGAATATAGAAAGAATCATTTTGTTGTGATTGTTTTTTGGATGCAGTTGTGAGTGGGGCTTGTTCTGAATGGTAATATTGGTAACGAGGTTGATGAGGTTGTGACTGAGGTGTTGCTTGTGCAATAGGGATATTCGAGTGTATCGTCGTTTCATGATGATACATGTTATCATTATACTTTGTCTATNTTGTCTATCTATTCAGTTATGTTAATAAAGTATCAATCAGAAGTGAAATTTGTAACGTTGAACCGAATAGAATCGTTCCACAGATTGTGTTTCATGATTATTCCTATAACTTTTATTTGATTGCATTCATTTTTTTGTACAAGTATGAATTCAACTGATATTCCTGTCATGCGTACTATAGCCTCAAGATGTTAGCATCAGGCCAAGTCTGGAACGTCAGGCCACGTTTGAATCGTCCTCGCTCAGTGGTGAATCTTGAGTCGCTCACGGACAAATCCTAACATTTCTGTAAAAATTGCCCTCAAATCGAGTCACTACTCGAAGAAATCGCTCGCAAATGCGATTGCTTACATCGTATCAATATCGTTCCGAACTTCACGCACTTTCATAATCCATCCAAACAACTTACTTTCAATCGAAACTAAATGAGATTTGCAAACGAACACCAATGAATTCATATTTACTCAAACAAGGAGTCTAACAACTAGTTCGAATGCAGTCTGTACTAAATAAAGTCGCTTATCCTCAATGTCCACTTTTCAATGTCCGCTGTTCACGAAATATTCGCAACTGAGTCCTGTTCATTTTAAATGTTGAATATTTGATTAACTATTTAGCTATCTTCAAATACCAGTACCGTTTTCTTATACTGTACCAGATTATACAAAAAAATATTAATTCTAAGAATCGAAAGTCGATTTTACAGATGGTTTTAACTGTTTACATTCGGCAAGATTGCA